CGCTGCTAGCTAAAAACAGAGGTTCCCCCACCACTGCTTTGTCTCCGGGTCTTTTTAATCCGAGTCTTTTTTTTAATCGTTCTCCAGGGAATTCAAAACGGGCCGAGAGAGCACCCTGTAACCCCAGCCACGAAGCAGGTGGCGTGGAGAGCAGGGTGCCCAAGGAAGGGGAGAGGAGAAAGTGAGACCCTCGGAGGTGGTGGCTTGCCTTCTGGGGAGGGGGAAGGGGGAGAACCCTAACGGGGCCGTTTTAACTGCTCTCCATTAAATCTTCTGCTACACGTTCTAATGGTAATAGCGGGAGCCTCTATAGAGGTCCTTTCTCACTGAAGATGTCTTTATCAAAGGCGCTCCTGGGAAACGGTTGCCCTTCGTCCCCAGACGTCACGGCCAGCGCAGGAGCTCCATAGTCTGCGTCACTGCAAAGCTGTGGCCTCCGTTTTCTTACTCAAACTTGACTGTTTTTAGCAGGAGCACAAAACCATGTGCGCGGGGTCTTAGCTGAGGACCGGAGGGCCGTTGATGTGTGCATCAAATGCCTGAGAAAATGCCCTTTGCTGACTGAGCCCTCGCTTTTATTTTGCCTTTGTCCCACTTTCTCTAGCCAGAGGGGCTACCAACTTTCCCAGCCAAGAGAGCTTTCCTTCCTCGGACGCCGGCATCCGGCCCCCTCCTGCAGCGCACCGTGTCTTCTGTGACTGGCCCCTTTGGTGCGCAGTGCAGCACCGAGTTACGTCCACCCCAGCCTCTTACAGGTCTTAGCCTTGGGGAGACCTTCATCACCACAGCTTTTCCCCTCTTCAGCCTCGATCAGGCAAATGCATGCACAGAACAGGAATGTCGCTCCTGTTCTGAAGGCTTGAGTAAAACCAACGGGAACCCTCAGAGAATTGCAAGGCAAAGCCAGTGCCCAAAATCTGTGAGTCCGAGCCATGGAGGTGGCTTCTAACTTGGGTTGAGCCACACTGGAGGATGGCTGAGATGACTGTCAGAAGCCTACAGAAGTCTGTGCTGTAGGTAAGAAATGTGCCTTTTTGAATCTTGTCCTGTGACAATTCAGTCTGCAAGTAGAACTCTAGGACTAGTTTAACTGCTGGCTACCCTTCTAATATTTCAGTTGGAAAAGCATTGTTGTGTTTAGAAAATCATTTGCAGAGAGGTAGCAAAGTTACTCCGTCACTTCCGAAAGCTTTATCGTCTGATTCCCATGTCTACATGCCATATTAGTAGGACTAGATTTCAACAGCTTAATCCGCAGAACAAGGCCTATCAAGAGCTAATGGCAACCCTGTTGAACAGAAAACCCATGTGCCAAAGCGGTCCATCTGCTGAATGCCAGGACAAAGGCGTAGCCATGGAGAAGGAAACTGGTATCTCCACGTCTGGTCCTCGGGCTTCCCCAAGGCCTCTGGCTGCAGGACCCTGGGATAAATGGGGCTGTGGATCCACTCCAGGAAAGTAGGTGGGCCATAGAGGAAGGGGGTGGAGAAAGGGAGATGTGGCTCAGGCTGAAGAAGTCTTCCCGGTTTGTCACTTCAAACCCCATTGTGATGTCTGAGGGTGAAGTCATCACGTCGGTTGAAAAGGAAGGCTGGGTACCCTCAGAGCAAGGAGAGGCCCAAGTGCCCAGCTCTAGGCAAGGAAGAAGATGCCATGATCTTTAGGAAAAATCTAAGCCCCGGTCATCCAACCTTTTGGTCCTAGAAGAGGAAAAGGGGGAGAAAGAGGAAGAGAAGGGGAGACGCCTGCATCTCTCATGGGAACAACTACCTCCTTCCATTCCTGAGTCAGTCACCCTCTACCAAAAAGTCACCTGGGACATTATCATGCCTAAGCAAAATGTTCTGGCTATCGGGATTGACCTTGGAACCACCTTCTCCTGCGTGGCCGTCTGCCAACATGACAAAGTAGAGATCATTGCCAACGACCAAGGAAAGCGAACCACGCCCAGCTTCGTGGCATTCACTAACACAGAACACCTGATTGGGGACCCAGCCAAGAGCCAGGCCTCTCTCAACCCCCAGAACACGGTGTTCGATGCCAAGCGGCTGATTGGCCGGAAGTACGAGGATGCCACCGTGCAGGAGGACATGAAACATTGGCCATTTACTGTGGTGAGCCATGAGGAGAAGCTAAAGGTCCAGGTCTCCCACAAAGGTAAGCAACGGACCTTCTACCCCGAGGAGATCTCTGCCATGGTCTTGGCCAAGATGAAGCAAACAGCTGAGGCCTACCTGGGCTACTCCATCTCCCAAGCCATTGTCACGGTGCCCGCCTACTTCAACGATGCCCAGCGGCAGGCCACCATTGATGCTGGAGTCATTGCAGGCCTCCAGATCCTAAAACTCTTGAACGAGCCCACAGCTGCCGCCATCGCCTACGGCCTGGATGCAAGGAACCAAGAGGCAGGCAGTCGAAACATCCTCATTTTTGACCTGGGCGGGGGCACCTTTGACGTTTCTATTCTTTCCACAGAGGATGGCATCTTTGAAGTCAAGGCCACGGCAGGAGACACTCACTTGGGTGGGGAGGATTTTGACAAGAGGCTGGTGGCTCACCTTGCCGAGGAGTTCAAGAAGAAGCACCGGAGAGACCTCTATCAGGACAAGAAGGCTCTGCAGAGGTTGAAGACTGCTGCCGAGCATGTCAAATGCACCTTGAGTTCCTGCACCAGTGCCAGCATCTCTGTGGATTCCCTCTTTCAAGGGACTGATTTCCACATGACCATCACTAGGGCACGCTTCGAGGACCTGTGCTCTGACCTCTTCCGAGCCACCCTGAGGCCTCTGGAAAGGGCCTTGAAAGACGCCAAGATGAGCAAAGGAGACATCAAGGACATTGTGTTGGTTGGGGGCTCCACCCGCATTCCCAAGATCCAGAAGCTGCTGAAAGAGTTCTTTAGTGGCAAGGAGTTGAATAAAGGCATCAATCCTGATGAAGCGGTGGCCTACGGTGCAGCCATCCAGGCCGCCGTTTTAACGGGCAACCGGACACCCAAGATGCAGAATATGTTTCTTCTGGATGTCACCCCTTTGTCTCTGGGGATCAATACGCAAGGAGGTGTCATGGCAACCGTCATTAAACGCAACTCGCCTGTCCCTACGAAAGAGGTCATGGAGTTCACCACGACCGAAGATGACCAAGACACCATCTTGTTTATGGTGTATGAAGGAGAGAGAGCCTTGACTAAACACAACCACCTTTTGGGCATGTTCACCCTGAAGGGCATCCCCCCCGCCCCCTGTGGGGTCCCAGTCATCCTGGTCACATTCTCCATTGATGAGAACAACATCCTGACTGTCTCAGCCAAGGATGTGGAGACAGGGAACACCAACCACCTGACTATTTCAGACACCCGAGGACACTTGGGCAAGGAGGAAATAGAAACAATTGTGCAGAAAGCTGAGGAGTTCCGGGCGAATGACATGAGCCAACAGGAGAAGATTGAAGCCATGAACTCATTGGAGTCCTGCAGTCTGGAGCTCAAGAGGGTAGCCGAAGAGCAACTCTTGGACGTGAAGGCTAAGAGGAGGATGCTGGAAATGTGTGACTGTGCTACCTCGTGGCTGGAGGGGAACCCCTTGGCGAGGAAGGAAGAATGTGAGCAGCGGCAGAAGGACCTGGAGGAAGCGTGGGACTCGATCTACACCAGTCTCGGCCAAAGCGAGCCACCAGAAGAGCGGGCGGAAGGAGATCCGGAGGCCGCCGAGCCAAAGGAAAAAATGGAATGAACCGGCCGAGTGCCAGAGTACATTGTTCCACCCAGAGGGCGCATTAAAAGTATGGGTAAAAAACGTGTCCGTCTCCAATTACAATGATTTAGTTCGGCTTATTGTTTTCAGGCCCTGAAAAGTCTCCAGATCAGCTTATAAGCAAATCACGTTGCAAAAATCCATATACAAGTTGAAGCTTAGCAGGCGATGCTAAAGCGAGAGAAGAGGCATTCAGGGCGGGCCAGCCAAATTACCCGAGCCCTGAGTGGCGGAACGGCTGGCAGAAGTGCCCTGCCCCTGGCCTGGGCAGGGGCGGGGTCAGGCCCAAGGGCAGCCTAAAAAATCATTCCTCCCCCTGGTAACCCCCCGAGCCAGCAGCGCTGCAAGAAGTTGGTGGCGCTGAGGTGGCTTCCGCCGGTCCATCCTGGATGACCCCCCAGGACAGCTTTTAGAGCTGGACTTTCAAAAGGCTTATTTAATGTGGCTTAGCCTTAGTCACAGATAGGCTCTGTCAAGGCGTCTTTGAACAAAGGGTGCTTAGTTCCCATTCCCCGGTGGGGGGGCAGCAGAGACCAGGTAGTTAAATGTGTGGATAGGATACAACAGATCTGTTTTTAAAGTCAGCAAGGACTTGCTTCTTTCATGCTGTTATCACTCAGCCTTAGCTCCTCACCTGTAAATGGGGGTAAAAGAATATCAGCAAGGGGGAAAATCTGTCTATCCTTTCCCTGCTTTCTGCTACTGTTTCCTGATTTCAGAATGAAGCACCTTCGGGCCAGGAACGGTCCTTCTTCCCTCCCAGAAACAAAGTCACACACACACACGCACCCCCCAACAAAGAACCACCACCAGACCCCAGACCAAAAGCAGTCTGCACTTACCCGGGAGGCCCAGAGCCACCAGCAAGCTGGCTGCTTCCCAAGCGTGGGCGGGAGCCAAGGGGTCAAGGCACTGTCCCAAGAGAGAGGCTTCGAGTCTTTGGCCCGCTCCCTGAAAAGGCCCTCCCCACATCCTCTCCAGGTGGGAATGGTGGCGGGCTCTGCAGCAGAATCTCCCCCGGGAAGCAGAGGAGGAAAGGGGCTGCCGTCTGCTGGGGGCCCTGAGCCCCCCAGCAGGTCCCAGGAGCCCATTGTGACATGCCCAGTGATGGGGGAGGGATGTCTGTCCTCTGGGAGAAGGGTCAGAGGGAGAAGTGGGGGACGCAGGGACCAAGAGGAGCTGCCCCCTGGATTGCCAATTTTCCATCTTTGGCAGAAGGCCGGGGGCGGCTTGGGGAAAGAGCCGTCTATGGGAGCTGACCTCAGCCATGCCGACCACTCTCCCAGCCCCGACTCCAGGCTGCTGACTCCTTCCACGCTGAGACCAGCCACGGCCAGGACTCGCCCCAAAGGCCCGGCCGTGGGGATCGACCTGGGCACCACAAATTCCTGCGTGGCAGTCTGCCAGAGGGGGAGGGTAGAGATCCTGGCCAATGACCACAACGGCCGCACCACCCCCAGCTGCGTGGCTTTCACCAGCAGGGAGCGCCTGGTGGGGGAACCAGCAGAGCTCCAAGCCAGCCTGAACCCAGAAAACACCATCTGTGGCGTGAAGCGGCTGATGGGCCGCAGGTACGACGACCCCTTGGTGCAGCTGGACCTGAAGAACCGGCCGTACCACGTGGTGGAGGCGGGCAACGGCAAAGCAAAAGTCCAGGTGTCCCACGGAGGGGTGGAGAAGGTGCTCTACCCCGAGGAGATCTCTGCCATGGTGCTCTACAAGCTGAAGCGGGTAGCCGAGGCCTGCTTAGGCCGCCCGGTCACCCAGGCCGTCATCACGGTCCCAGCTTACTTTGGTGATGCCCAGCGCCAGGCCACCATGGATGCGGGGGCAATTGCGGGGCTCAACGTCCTGAGCTTAGTCAGCGAGCCCACTGCAGCCGCTGTGGCTTATGGGCTTAGGGAGACCCGCCAGTGCAAGGGAAGGAGAAACATCCTCATCTTTGATCTGGGTGGGGGCACCTTTGATGTCTCCATCCTCACTGCCCAGGATGGCATCTTTGAAGTCGTGGCCACAGTGGGGGATTCCCACTTGGGGGGAGAGGATTTTGACCAAAGGTTGGCCAGCCACCTCGCCCAAGAGTTCACGAACAAGTATCACGAGGATCCCACCGAGAGCAGGAAGGCGATGCAGAGATTGAAGGTGGCCTGCAGGAAGGCCAAGCATACCCTGAGTTCAAACATGACAGCCACAGTCTCCATTGACTCACTCTACAAGGGGATTGACTTCCACACCACCGTCACCCGGGCCTTCTTTGAAGACCTGTGCTGTGACCTCTTTCACGCTACCATGCTTCAGGTGGAGCAGGTGCTGGAGGAAGCAGGGGTCAAAAAGAGCCAGGTGCATGAGATTGGACTTGTGGGAGGCTCCACCCACATCCCCAGGATCCAGAGGCTTCTGTCAAAATTCTTCGATGGACAGAGGTTGTGCAAAGCCATCAGCCCCGAGGAGGTGGTGGCGCACGGGGCCGCCATCCAAGCTGCCGTCCTGACAGGCCACCGATACCAAAACTTGCAGAACCTCCTCCTCTTGGATGTGACCCCCGTCTCCTTGGGGCTGGAGACAGTAGGAGGCGTGATGGATGTGGTGGTCAAGCGTAACTCTCCCATTCCCACGACAGAGAGCAGGAATTTCTCCACCACGGAGGACAACCAGAGCAGCCTCTTCTTGCAGATCTACGAAGGGGAGCGGAAGTTGACGAAGCACAACCGCCTCCTTGGCACCATCACTCTGAGTGGCCTTCAACCAGCACCACGATGCGTCCCCATTATTGCGGTCACCTTTCAGATTGACCACAACAACATACTCACTGTGTCAGCCACGGAAAGAAACACAGACAACAAAAAACAGCTCACCGTCCTCGACACCCGTGGCCGGCTGGATCGAGAAGAGATGGAGCGGATCCTGCAGGAGGAGGAGGAGTGCCGAGCGCAGGACAAGCTGGAGGAGGAGAAGCTGGAAGCCCTCAACGCCTTGGAGACCAGCACCCTCCAGCTCAAGAGGGCGGCGGCGGAGAAGTCCCTGGATGACCGGGCCAAACGGAGGGTGCTTGAAATGTGTGAGGAGACGGCCGCGTGGGTGGAGGACAACCAGCTTGCTCCAAAGAAGGCGTATGAGGAGCGGAGGAAGGAGTTGGAAGAGGTCTGCTGCACCATCATCACTCACTTTAGCACAGACGGAGAGAAACCTTGAGAAGCCAGGAGGAGAAGCCAAATAAACCCTAGTTCCAGACTTCTTGAGGAGACTGCTGGGCACATTAAAAACAAAAAAGTGAGTATTCATTTTCTCCTTCTTCTGACAAGGCAGTTCCGGGAGACCGAAAGGAAGAAGCCTGCAGCATGAAAGGGGCTTGCTGGGCGCCTCCACGCCAAGGGCCAGCCAGCCGGGCTCTCCTGCCGGAGGAGGAGCCAAGCCAACCGGGAGGCGGAAGGCAGCCCAGGCGCCCCGCGTTTCCTTCCCCACCCATCCACAACTCCCCACGGCTCCCCTCCTCCACCGAACAGGCTCCCTCCCAAAGAAGACAGGATGGCGCAGAGGGGCCCGTAAGGTCAGCGAAGGGCCCTCTTCTGGCGCAAGGGGCACTCCAGAGGGACTGCACCAGGCTGGGGCGGGCACCCACAGCCAGGGGTAGAGGAGGACCTCCAGAGGGTGATGAGAGATCTGCGCAAGGCTGATATTCCCCCAACAGTTCCTCATAATCCCCAGATTACCATGCCTGCCATTTCTCCCAGCAGTAATCGGCTTTAATCACCGTTGGATTTCCCTGAACCACAATTTGGCTTTAATTAATGGCCACTTATGGGCAGGGGAGGGAGGGGGTGGCGTGTGGGTGGGGGCTCTTTTTCCCAGCCTGCAAGAAAAGGAATCACCCTTGGAGAACTAAGGCCAGGCAGTTAGAAGCTTCTTTGAGGCGAGGAGGCGGAGGGATCAGAGTGGAAGGGGGTCAAAACAGAGCCCCCCCCCATTTCAGTGCTTTTGCTGGCCCAGCGCAGTTTCTAGCCCCCAGGGCGGCTCTTTTTAAGCAGCGCTGCTCTGTCGCTTTCTTTCTTTGGGCGAGCAACTCCCTCACCCTCCGGATTGTGTCCTGTAAAAGAGGGAAGCCCCCCCCCCCACACTTGGAGGTGAAGAAAATGAGGCCGGGGGG